GGGTATATATTTAGTCAACTTGAATGTTTTCCAAGGTACTGCTCCCCATCAACCATAAAACCACATCCATCAATTGATTATACCTTCTAGTTCTTCCGGTAAGTTCCTTTAGGTATAATACACCAAAGACTCGTCTCTTTCAATTCACTACACATTATGTGTGTTTGACTTGATTTTATTGCTTTGCAATAATCATAACACATGCCAACGGTGTTGAAGTCTCGCTACTTCATTAATCTTAGAGTACTTAAACTTCACAAGTATCTCTTCAAATGTAGTGGCATTTATGACTTAACTTTGGATTTACGTAAAACTCCTAAGTATCACTTTCACTTTACTTTGGAATTACCCAAGTGACCAACATCACTTCTCCCCAATATATACCCACATTTTAACTATTTCACCATAGTTGTTGAAACCAAATGTTTCTAATAGAGGGAATGTTGTTCATATACATTCATGTATATGGTTGATGTAATTTACCCTTTGGGAAGAGTGGATCAACATATCTAAGAAATCTTCTTTGGATTTCTCAAACTAGCTCTCTAACATAACTGTCAACATATGCTAGAGTTTACTCATACGTTAACCCTTGAACTTGGTTAACTCCACACGATTTATGGACTTGCTCTTTCTCACTGTAAACCTTCATACTTTGAAGTATGACTTGTTTCACCTTCCCACTTTTGTCTTATGGATAGGTTCACATCTCATTGTAGGGTCTTAAGATAGTAGCCGAAACAACGGCTGGCTCTTCTCCCCCACAATTCTGCCCATTTAATTTCATGGTTTTACTTATTGAACATGCCAAACACTATATGTATCTAATTGTTTACCAATGGTATGATCTCACTCGATTAGCATACCACAAACAATTCAGATTCTATTAGAAATATCATCTAATTACTTACCAATGGTATTGATCAAGGCAACTTGAGACGTCATAAGTAATTCAGATGCATTCCAGTAATGGAAATCTCATCTAATTACTTACCAATGACATTTCATCTATGTAACATGATATACCACAAGTAATTCAAAGGAATTTCTAATTCAATTGTTTAATTACTTTCCAATGGTATAAACTTCATAAATATACCATAAGTAATCTAGACTTTAAGTTCAATAAGATCATCTCAATTGAGCACTCATGTCAAATTGTTTTCCAATGGTATATGTCTATATATACCATAAACAATTCTGACACATAGCTACACACAATAATCGTAAGTCAAATTGTTTTCCAATGATATAGTGTACTTATACCATAAACAATTCTGACCTAATGCTTATCTTGATCATGACCATCATTTGGCAAGCTTATTAAATCCCTATAAGGATCAATCATAGCTTCATTTTCCTTGTCCTCAAGGCATAGGAAACATCAAGTTCTAAACCACATACATGACAAACAAATTATCATGTCTTCACAAGCATCGTAGGAATTAACATTCCTTGTCATTTGTGGCTTACTAGTAATGCAATTCTTTGGACGTGCATTAATCAAATATCATCTTCAACAAATTGGAGGTATACTTTCTGTATTATGTTCAATTTACTTTGAACATAACCTTTGCATTTAATGTGCAACCATTTTGGCTTAGGTAGAATTGACCACAAATCTTCACAAGCCTCTCCATAGGTTAGCATCATCCAAACCACCTCATAATCATCGAAGAGTTACCTTGAATTCATCGTAAATTCTTCTTGATTCAAATATATTTGAATTTTCTTAAACTCTTCCTGAGTTCATTCTCAACTCAAATACTACAAAGGTATTTGGAATTCACTTAACCAAATCGAATTGGTTCAACGAGCACTAAATTGGTTTCCAAGCAATCCTTATCTTTATCAACCATGTTTCACCATAAACATGGAAACGACAGCTACCATACATTCTGGTGCTTAGATTTTCAATGCATGAACCAAAATATATTGCCGCTATTAAGACGGAGATATATACGTTGCCATTAATCATTAATCTGTTCACCCAGAATTAAATAGACAGGAACAGAGTGATACCTATTTCCAATTTCTTTCCAATGCCAACCGTATATATGTATGCACACTCATACTAACATTAACATAGTAGATACTGAACCTATATATATATCCAATATATAACCTAGTCGCATGAATGGATGATTGCCGGTAAAGTAAAACCAAATTGGAATCCAATTACACACAGGCCAAAACCATATTGCTTAATAAAGATGGCAAAACTTTGTCATAATTTCTTTCTTGCACTTGATTAGTGCAAATATAACCAGACAATTGATAGATCCATATCTAATTAGTTACAGGAACAAAGTGTTCCTTCAATTAACAACGAGAATTTGCATATCCCAATAGACGGCTTAATCTTAATCAATCAACATATTGATTACTAACATAAAATGTTAAGGCAATTTGTCCATGAACAGGGATAGAGAGTTACCAGTTTCTAAAAAGTTCAGCGCCAGTAATCTTCCGGAAGCCAACTCATACAAGTGCTTAATTCACCAAACCAACTCAGACTGCAACTTATATGTATATATGATGCAGGGAAAGTATTCTACCGTCAAAATTTCCTTTTGTTCCATGCGATAAAACGTCTCAAGGAGCCGTTAACCACCAATCGCCAAAACCAAGTAACGTATCATCCAAAATCATGGCAATTTTTCCTGGAGAATGCATCGTAAATGCATATAAAACAATATCAAATACAAGGACAAAGATGGATGATATGATATTGTATGGCATTCGGTTAATACATAAGTCCATGGAACTACAGAAACAACAATGATGAAAAGCCCAATTCGTGATGCAAGTTTCCTTTCGACAAGCATGAAGCAACCAGTTTATGCGAACAATAATAAAAAAAAATAAGATTCTTTAATATTGTTGTGAAAATTGTTCACGTATACTATTTTCTTGCAACACAAGCAAACACATAAGATTAAGAAAACATGCAAAGACACATGCAAGTGTTCCAGCCGATAGAATTCACCATCTCTACTTAAAGAATCTTATTCTCCTATAGTACCCAAGGTTATGGAATGATTCCTCCCAGGATAGAAAGGACGTACCTTTTCTGGCGTAGCGGTACCTCAAACCCCGGAACCCATCGAACGTAGCGAACCGGCTAGAACCACACTTGACTCGATTTTCTCTTTGAAAAGAATGCAGAAAACTAGTTTTGGATTTTAGCAGACTTTTGGTACAGGAAAAAAACAATGTAAAAACCAGAGGGGGTTAGGTGCTATTTATAGAAAATGAAGGGTGCTTATGAAGGGAGACAACTCTTCGTATGGGTGGTTACACCCCAACCAACACATTGGTTCGTTTTAAAAATAATAAACCATTGTATCGGTTCGGTCCATGGTAGTTTGACCGGTTCGGTTATTCCAACCGTCATATCGGTTCGGTTCGATTTGGTTTGGTCCGTTTGGTACACAAACCAATTTAACCGATTAACCACATATTATATCAAATCAATCGAATTCAAGGTCGTGCCTTCCCACATCTTACCAACATGGTACTTCAAGAGACTCTCTTGAAACTTTCCTCTTTCATTTCCATTCACACCAATAAAAAACCCAACAATAACATTATGAGAGAAAAATTCGAATGAATCAATCATTCCATAATACATACACGTAATAAAATATTACGATCAACTCATCGTTAACCAAAGATGAAAGATATATACCACATGGTGAGGGGCAATGAATTGGGAATTTTCTTAGTCTCTTAACAATTCTTTTCATTTCAGATTTTCATCCAATATAATATATGATCTTCCTCTAAATTATGAGCTCATATATTGTTGTCCATATTTTATAAGAACAAATATACCATGAGAACAATTATGAGTTTTATTTTTCCATGGATTGAAAAGAGGATGAACGTTTGATTCTTGAGTGGTTATGCAAAGTATTAAGTATGAGTTTTATAGCCTATTAAATATACAACTAATTTTCTAATTGATTAGCAATGTCTGAAACCAATCCAAACCAAACCACCTAAACCAAACAAACTAAAAAAATGTAACCAAATCAAATCAATTTTAAATTAATCAAACCAAATTATCCAAATATTATCAGTTAAAATTATGACAACAGTAACCAATACTTTTGAATACCCCTAGATCCTCCCCCGAATAAACATACACCAAGAGAGGGAAGGGGAATATTTACGGTTGATGATTCTTCTTCTTCTTGGACATGAGTTAGAGCTCTTTTCCTTGTTAGAGTTATTTCTTCCTTGTCTTCCTCTTGCCCCTTGCCCTTATTTACGGATGGTGCAGGACGCTAGCGGTCTTCGGTCGTAATTTTCCATTTCAGTTGGAAAATGCTGTCAAATGTTTGTGTGGTTCATTTTCGACGCCCACCTTTTCTTTAGGTGTTGGGGCAACGAAAGCCCCCAGAAAGTTTAAGTTGGCTTCCAGCTCCATTGCGGTCGGCATCCTGCTCTCGAGGGAGTGGAGTTCTGGAGCGAACTACTCATTGCTGTCTTGCCCCAACCCAGGAAGGGCATTTGGTGAGGAGCATTATTTTGAGGGAGGGAATGCGTGGTTTACAAGCCACTTCGAGGAGGCGACTGGACTGGAATGTTTTCATCAAATGATGCATGTGGACTGTGTTATTTGACTGATGGGGACAACAAACAATTAATTATAAGAAATAGAAAAATGGAAGAAATACTAAAGAAAAGATGTAATAAATAAGAATTACTAAAAACAGTGGGGTCAAAGCTAGCACATATTTATAGATAGGACGCAGAAATGCTTGTTAGAATGAGTGAATGACGTAACAGGAATCCACAAAATACCATCAACCGTTTCTTGTTAAATCACTGAAAACTCCTGAACGTTACAAGACGCGAAGACCTTAGTAGTAAAATAGTTAAGAGACTTTTCAGCCCATCTGGGAGAAACAGAAGATTCCTATGACTGAGCCAAACCGCATAGGAATCAATTCATAGGCAATCTTTACACGAGATAGCTTCTTCTACTACTACTAAGCATCATCATCATCTCCTTTGCCAAACAACTGCTCCACTTCCGAAAGAGTAGTTCGAGCATCATCGACTTCGGGTCCTTTCTCACCCGATTCCTCCATCTCCACAAGAGTTGCCTTCAGGTCAGCCAGTGCAGCCTCGAGGCGCTTATGGCAATCTGGAATCATCATGCGAGATTCGGCCAGCACGTTCTCCTGCTGCTTCAGGTCATAAGGGTCAGCTCCCTTGTCTTTCATTTCGGATGTCTTGGCAGCCTCTCTTTCCACCTCTTTCTCATACGAGTGCAGCTCCTTTACTATGCGTTTGCAAGTGCTTGTCTTGATCTTCAGATTCCTGATTGTTGCCATCCTAATAACCTTACTACAGTTGTCTGGCAAAGAAAAGAGGGTAAAGGAAGTCAAAATGAACTTCATCTGCTTTCAAAGAATGGAAACACATGAAAGACGGCTAATAAAAAGTCAAACAATATATGAGGAACTCAAGAATCTATGCAAGCAGGCAAATTATTCTACTGGAGTCCTAACTCTGTACAATCAATTCTTTGTCCCTGGATATCTTGAACAGCTCAAGGGCAGTGTCTATGGCTCAAAAGCTCACAGCTTGTTAAGCAGATGAGTTATGGTAAGAGACGAGTGTAAAAATTGCTCGGCTAAAGAGGATTTGAATCTTGAGGGAGGTTAAACGAAGCAAATCAACCTAGGTTCATTAAATTTCATTCTGAAGCTAAGCTCATCATCTCAGTACAGCATTTCATGCCAGAGGGAGAAGAGGTTTTCATGATTATCAGCATTTGACTTGGGTAAACAACTTATGGTTGATAACAAACCAGTTACTAAACTATGTAAACAACTGAAGTGGTAATGCTTAATGAGTTCAGCAGACGGGACCAAACATGATTGGTTCAAAGAATACAAATACAGGATTTCAAAAACTAGAGGTAGATTCAGTTGGTAACTCGGGAAGAAGTTCAAAACAATGAGAGAAGAAGAGAACAGACTACTTGAGCTTTAGCGGTTCAGAAATATCCTAATGCCGTACAAATCTAGCAAAATGACTCATATCGTCTGCCATGAAGGTGTAGCGCCAACATGGAGTTGCAGACCAACAGTACTCCAAAATATATATAGTAAATTCCAATAGATACAGAAGTGCCAACACCATAGAACCATGGGAAAAGCGACGTCCCTAGTTCTAACTTCTAAGTTCTACTAGAACAAACAGATCAGCTTGATCAGCCTGCTAATAAGCAACAGACTTGAAAGCTGAAGCTATATGCTCTACAGTCCAGGATTTAGGATTATCATCTTAACAGCCTAGCCTCTCAAACTTAAACTTCGTCACAATAGACTTTGGATTCACTTAGTTTTTTTTAGGAACACTTTGGATTCACTTAGGTCCGCCGTGCATTGCTTTATCTACCTCATCTTCAAACCTCATATGTCAAACCAGGATTTCTTGACTTTACTATAAGAACCCTATACTCCTTTAGAAGTAAAGCTTCGGTTTTGAAGGAACCCAAATAAAAATTCCCTTCCCCGCCAGAAAATCCCACATATGCAGAGTTCTAGATAAGATCAATAACCAGACGAGACGAAAAATAAGGAAAGAGAAAGCTTTAGTGAAATATTTGAGTCATACCTCGGCGTTAGAAGGGGCGGCGACGACTAGATCGCAGGTTGGCTTCCTCTGCTTGTTCCGCCGGGAAGAGGACTCAGACTATGGAGCTCGGAATCGGAATTCGGATCTTCCCTTTCCGCCAAAATGAAACGCCAACCGTTGGATGTATTGGATAGATTGTGGCCGTTGGATGATTACACACAAGGCTTTGATGGCCCATGGGCTGGAGGATCCGGAACCTACATGGCCCAGCTCGCCTTCGAGCTTCCGATTCAGCCTGCTTCCGGAGACTGACTGAATGGGAAGAAGTTCGTCGGTTGCAAAATTGGAACTTTGAGAGTTGGCTGTTCATTCTCGGGGAAAGGCAGAAAGCTAAGCAGAAATTGCTTCCTACTCGGGAAACCTACTGGTTAGTTCTGTTCTCGACTTGATTCTCTTGTTTATTTTAGCCTGCCGTGGAATTGTTCAGTTCAATATAGTTGAATTCATGCCACCAATGGATGTTTAATGTTTCTGTTCGGAGTCTGGTTTCATTGTTATGGCGTCTGCACAGATGGGTACAATTGTCATGACAGAAAGTTTAGAACCTTCTCTGTAGGAATGGTCATTAGAGTGGTACAGACGAAGAAAGTAATGAACTTCTATACGTTTTGTGTATATGGAACTCTGTTTGGCAGCTATCTGGTGATTTTGTATGTTCCTTTGTAGTCAGCAATGTCTATCACTAAATAGTTGAATTGTTCCATTTCTTAGATTGGAAGGAGCAAGTTGCATAGTTTGATTGGTAGTCGGTCAACATTCATGGCGAATCAGGCTGTTGAAAGCTTAGAACGAGAGGAAGAGGTGGTGAATTTGAGAAAGCTAGGGCTGTATGTAGGGAACGTGAGGGTGTTGCTGGAAGATGAAGAATCTGCTTCAGAAGAGATCATGCTGTTATGGGGAATTCAACAGCCCACTTTCTCTAAACTGAATGCTTATGTCGCCCAGACCTCGCTCCAACTCCGCCTTGATGCTTGTGGTCACTCCCTCTCTATTTTGCAGTCTCCTTCTTCATTGGTACTTGCTTCCTTGTTGTTGTTTTTTTCAAAATCTTTTATAGCTATCGCTTTTTGCCTTCATTTTATGATTATCACCGTACCTCAATTGTTTTGTTAAATTTAAAATACCAGTCGACATTTGTTCTATTTGGTACAACAGTCAAAATGTTATCTTTATATCTTGGTTCTGGATTACTGTTATTTAAGCCTTCAATTTGTTATCATGAGTTACATTCTGCATTACAGGGTACACCTGGAGTAACAGGTTCGGTAATGTGGGATAGTGGCATTGTATTAGGCAAATTCTTGGAACATGCGGTAGATTCGAAGACGCTTGTCCTTCAAGGCAAGAAGGTTATCGAGTTGGGTTCAGGCTGTGGATTGGTAGGGTAAAGATAACTTCCACTTTCTTTTATATGTTTGGGATTTTCATGTGGTTTCTTTCTGGGTAGTAAAGGCAGGGGCTTGCATAGAGAACCTTTTACTATGTAGTACGTACAGTCAGAACAAAAGGCATACCCTGCATTGGCTTGCGCATGTCTGGGTTCTATAAAAAGGAAGAAATGAAGGATGCTCAAAGAGCAGTATTATATTAGTTTCGCATAACCTTATGCCAGATTCTATTCGATTTGCAGTTGTGTAGCATCTCTTTTGGGGGCTGAAGTTATACTCACTGATCTCCCTGATCGACTGAGACTGCTCAAAAAGAATGTAGAAAGCAATCTAGGAGATGAACACCTGCGTGGCTCTGCAGTAGTGGAGGAGCTTACTTGGGGTGACGAACCTGATCCGTGCATGACTCAACCTTTGCCTGATTTTGGTAAGCAAGCTTTACTCTAGATTTCCCAAGTTCCAATAGGTAGTAGTACCAATACTCTGCTATTTTTACCAGCAGGTTATTGATACTGCTGCTGAACCAAACTTTTATTCTATTCTCTCGAAAAGCCTTTTATGACTTCATCGTGGATCTACCATGTATCAACTGCCCAAATTTACACTCTGCAAATGCAAATAGTGGCTTTGGTGATCCATGGAGTTTGGAATTCATAAGGATGACCCACAGATTTTTAAAAGATCAAACCTTAGACAGGGTTTCTGAAGTACATCTCTAATGATAGTCTGCTTTGTCCTCCCCTACTTAAGTCAATTCCAAAAAAGGGGAGTTATGGAGAGAGACAGAGAGTCATGTTGGCAAGAGTATTATTGTGATTGTTATGATGTTTCAGTTGTGGGGTCAGACGTGGTATATAGCGAAGGACCAGTCCTTGATTTGATAGACACACTCTTGAAGCTCTGTGGATCACAAACAACAGTATTCATAGCAGGGGAGCTCAGAAACGGTAATACTGATCTCGCCCCCCGTCCCTTCTTTACTTGCAGCTTTACCTCTCGGCATCATCTGTTGTTAAAACCAATACATTGTTCTTCATACTCCAGATGCAGTGTTGGAGTACTTCTTGGAGGCAGCCATGAAGGTATTTGTGGTGGGGCGCGTGGAGCAGTCGGAATGGCATCCTGACTATCGCAGCCCCCGTGTTGTGATGTATATTATGGTGAGGAAGTAGCAGAGAGTTATATGGTAGAGAGCCAAGGAGTGCAAACTTTGTGAATTCATTTTTACAGTTGGTTTCTTCTCCTCTGTCAAAGATCAAGTCACAGTGGCAAAGTTATGGTTCAGAATTTCGCGGCGATAACTGGGTGTTAACTACAACTACAACTTACAAGTACGTAATCTGAGTGGTCTGTGTAATGTATGAACATCCGTTTCGAAGTGCAAACGAAACTGAACTTCAAAACCAGTAGCAGTGAATCCGTAAATGTTAACGAGTGGAAGAGTTACAAATCTTTGTTACGAATAGTTTCGTAATAAAGCAGCTTCGGAGATAAGAGAAGAGCATTAGGCTTATAAGAAGTGAACTAGTCTCCCTCTCGCTCGCACCCCATTCTATTTTCTTCCCGCTCTGAGACTGAAGAAATGGCGGCTCCCGCTGCCTCTCCTTATCCTAGTCCATTCTCCACAACGCGACGAGTTCAGAAACCCAGTACCACTTTTGCCGTTTGCGGCCCCGCCATTCATCTGAAGAACGCAGAGCTTCGATTTCCAAGCATCCGGTGTCGACACCCAGGAATTGGGCGACAACGTTGCTCCTCGGCCTGCCTGCCTTCCTCGTCATCACCTCCGAAAACTAGGCTTTTCGTAAGCGGTCAGTTCCTTTCCTTCCTCACTTGTTCGATTTCTCTCCGTTTCAACTTGGCCCTCAAACAGGGAACAGAATTGAAGCATAATGGAAATTTTGTTTTCGAGATTGGGCAAGTTAGGATTTTTTCTGTCGCTACTGGCCTACCATGATCGTATTGACTGTATTTGGACCTGTAGAACTCCGAGTTTGGTGATTAAGCTCGTTATACCTTATCTGTCTGGTTTAAGAAATCTGCATATTCTAACTTGGGCAAGCATCCATTACTTCGGAACTCGCGAATACCATTACCAGGTGTAGCTCAAACGGTAGACAAGGAGGAATCCAGCAACCTGGCGGATTGCTTCCGTTGGAGCTGTCTATATATCTCACAACTTGAGGCCAAATCCGAGCTCCAATCCCTTCTAACTTTACAATTTGGATCCTCAGTAGAATCAAGTGATGCTGTAACATAGACAAGATGAAGCCCAGTTTTGTATTAAAACCTGCACGTTCGTCTCTCTTTTGCTTCTTCTCTCTCTGTGATAGCTGTGGAACTTCTGTAACTACACTGACCTTGCAGTGTGGGCCGATTTCATACAGGTCTATCTTTTCGCACCACTGAGGAAAGTCTGCGGAATGCTTTCCAGAATTTCGGCCAACTCGTAGAAGGTGATGACTGTGAATTCTGTCTTTGAAATCAATTCAGTGATGTCTTTTTTTTTCCAGTCAGGTTATAGTCTTTCGTTTTCCAGCCCTTCTTATAGTTGTGGTTGGCCCTACAGTCAATCTCGTGATGGACAAGATTGCAAGAAGGCCTAAAGGGTTTACGTGCATGAGCATGCGTAGGGTTAGTTTGGTATTTTACCTTTACTAAAACCTACGGCCAACCCTAGGTGATTTGTACTTTAGGGTTGTATATATAGCTCCTGTAATTGGTTCCGCAGCACACTTGTGAAAGTAATAAGAGAAAGACTGAGAAGGGGTTCTCCTTCTCCGTGGATTAGTCTCGTTCATACCGAACGAGGATACCACGTAAATTGCTTGTGTCGTGATCCTTTTTCTTATTGCATCTTAGATTTTTCATGGTATCAGAGCAGGTCAATTGAAGATCCAGAACAATGAGCACGGGCAGCGCCAGCGAGAGCTCCATGGTGAGCAGTGGCGGTGGTTTGGGCGGACAAATTCCTCCGGTTATTCCAGCCGGCTTGAGGATTCTAGCGTCCGACAATCCTGGACAGCTTTTTGTGGGAGAACTTCTGAATGACTCGAATTATGGCGAGTGGGTCACCGATATGACCGAAGCCCTCATCGCGAAGAACAAGATGGGGATGGTCGACGGGACGATCGTCAAACCTGTGAATGAAGAGTTGTTGGGAGCGTGGCTCCAGTGTGATGCCCTAGTAAAGGGCTGGTTGAAGACAGGGATGGAGAAAGAAGTTCGGAATTCCATCCGATACGCTAAAACCGCAAGAGACATCTGGGTTGATTTGGAGTCTCGGTTTGGCCAAGTCTCTGCGCCTCGGGCGTACGAGTTACGACAGTTGATGAGCTTGCTTCGTCAGGAGAAGCTCTCGGTCTCGACCTTCTATACGAAGCTGCGCGGCATATGGGAAGAGATGCAGACTATTACTCCGATTCCCAAATGCACTTGCGGGCTGTGTACTTGTGATATCGAGCGGCGAGTTCGAAACAACCTTGAGAGTGATCGCCTATTTGATTTCTTGATGGGGTTGGATGAATCCTTCTCCACGGTCAAGACTCAAATCCTATCAATGAAGCCTACCCCTAACATTGCAGAAGCTTATCGTTTGATAGCAACTGAGGAGCAGCACAAAAATATAGCCGCTAGTCGTCGTCCTGCGGTAGAGGCAGCTGCCTTTCAGGCTCGTCCGGACAGAGATGAGCGCGATGCGGGGCGTCGTGATGAAAGAACAGGCAAGGGTGAGAAGCCACGGTGCAATCACTGTGGCAAGAATGGTCACACGAAGGAAAATTGTTTCGAGCTGATTGGTTGGCCTGAAAAATGGCCCGAGAGGAAGCAACGCCAAGGGGAGAAAGGGTCTCGCAAGGGGCCACGGAAGGAAACTTCGAGGGCAGCAAATTCCTCCACCATGGCGGGAATTTCTATTCCTGGTCTATCTGCAGACCAAATTCAGCAATTGGTTCAGTTTTTAGGCCAAGCCAATGGGCCTGTCACTTCCACACCATCATCGGACTCCACGGCGAACATGTCAGGTAATTTCGTTTCGGATTCTGAGTGGGTTATTGATTCTGGTTGCACTGAATATATTACCAATAACTCGAACTTGCTGGAGAATTCAAGGAACGTTTCAGGTTATCTTCCGGTTAAGATTCCAAATGGGGATAGTATTCCGGTAACACAGATTGGTGAAGTTAGCTTGTCTAGTGGGATGAAATTAAGCCATGTCTTGAGTATACCCCTCTTCAAGTGTAATCTTCTATCGGTGAGCAGGTTGACCCGGGATTTTGATGTAGCCTTGATATTCTTACGTGATTTTTGCGTCATTACGCTCCAGGAGGATGATTGGTAGTGGGAAGCTGTGTGACGGGCTATATTACCTGCGATTGTTTGGAGCTACTAAATCGAGGGCATTGGCTGCATCCATTGGTCGCATGAAGATGGATGAGGTGTGGCACTCGAGGTTGGGGCATCCGTCGCAGGGGAAGTCAAAGTTACTTTTTGATGTTATTCAAAATAAAGGCACGGTTGAATTTTGTGATTCGTGTATTCGTGCCAAACAAACTCGGTTGCCTTTTGCTAGAAGTACAATCAAGACTACTCGTTGTTTTCAGTTGATTCATGTGGATATATGGGGCAGTTTTAAGACTGCCACACATAGTGGTGCTCAGTATTTTCTGACTATCGTTGATGACTTCAGCCGTGCAACGTGGGTTTATTTGATGCGTTACAAATCTGATGTGGAAAGACATCTTGAGGTGTTCATTAATATGGTTCAGACACAGTTTCAACAACAGGTTACTCGAATTCAGGCAGATAATGGGATGGAGTTTCAAACAGCTCACTTGCGGTCATTTTATGAAGACCGTGGGATTGTATTGCAAACGTCGTGCACTGATACACCTCAGCAAAACGGCGTAGTCGAGCGAAAACACAGGCATCTCCTTGACACCGCTCGCGCTCTTATGTTTCGTGCGAACCTGCCGTTGAAGTTCTGGGGAGAATCAGTACTCACAGCTACTTATTTGATAAATCGGCTGCCTTCCAAGGCTCTAGGCAATCGTACTCCCTACGAAGTGCTCTTAGGCAAGGTTCCCACCTATGATCATCTCCGTATTTTCGGTTGCTTGGCCTATGGAAAGGATACACACAAAGGTCTTTCAAAATTTGCAGAACGTGGACATCCCTCTCTTTTCGTTGGGTACCCAGCAAATCAGAAGGGTTATAGGTTGTGGGACTTGGAAGCCAAGAAGTTTTACGTGAGCCGTGACGTTATTTTCATGGAAAATATATTTCCTTGCCATGCAGGTGCAGGCGATTTCTCCCAGCCCTTGGAGAATTGTTCTTCATCACCTGCGGCCACTGTTCCCGAAGCCGAAGAGGCCCCAGCAGCCTCTCCGATCACCCCCCAAGCGGCCGACGTTCGGGAAGAAGAGGATGTGGACAGCACAGCATCTGAGGCCATGGATCCCTCGCCTGAGAACTCGGTCGATGACCAGGTTCCGCCGGATTCGCCCCCGTCAGCCCCGCCGGTGCGGCGTAGCTTGCGAACTCGCACCGTTCCTAAACATTTGGACGTCTACGAGGCCGAGCTGCCACCGTCCAACATTCCTTACCCCATCGAGGATCACGTGAGTTACCATGCTGTCTCTCAACCTCATCGAGCCTTTTTGTCAGCAGTGAACAAGACTCCGGAACCTAATTACTTCCATCAAGCCATTCGTCACATCGAGTGGAGGGAAGCTATGAAACGTGAGATTAAGGCACTTGAAGACAATCACACTTGGACCCTTGTTCCACTGCCGCCAGGGAAGAAAGCCATCACACCAAAATGGGTTTACAAAATTAAGTACCATCCCGATGGCAGCATCGAGAGGTACAAGGCCCGGCTTGTTGCCAAGGGATTTACACAGGTGGAGGGGGTGGATTATCACGATACGTATGCTCCGGTTGCTAAGTTGGTTAGCGTACGTGCCCTTCTCTCAGTCGCTGCGGTTCGCGGCTGGAACGTAGATCAACTTGACGTCAACAACGCCTTTTTACACGGGGATCTCGACGAAGAAGTCTACATGAAGATCCCTGATGGTTTTGCAGCGCCTGGTGAAACTCGTGTGTGCCGTCTCCACAAATCCTTGTACGGATTGAAACAGGCTTCTCGTAACTGGTACGCTAAGTTCACTTCGACTCTATTGGGTCTCGGTTTTACCCGTTCACGGGCAGATTACTCTCTTTTTGTTCGGAAGACAGCTACCAGTTTTGTTACAGCCTTGATCTACGTCGATGACGTTATTCTTGCCGGTGACGATCGAGCTTTTATGGAGCATGTTAAGTCCACCTTGGATGAGCGGTTCGGTATCAAGAATCTGGGGCCGCTCAAGTATTTCTTGGGGATTGAGGTGGCCCGTTCACAGAAGGGCATCGTGCTCAGTCAGCGAAAATATACCCTTGATCTTCTTCAGGATGCAGGACTTACGGGGGGGCGTCCCACTTCCGTCCCCGTTGAGCAAAATCACCCTCTCACTCGTCCGGCTTCTGATGATACTTCTGATAATGCGGACTCGACAGTTGATAGATCCGCCTATCGTCGTCTGGTCGGTCGATTACAGTATTTGACCGTCACTCGGCCTGATATTGTCTATGCCGTAAATATTCTCAGTCGTTTTGTGCATTCTCCGACTTCTGCACACGTGGCTGCTGCGGACCGCGTCTTGCGATACTTGAAAAATGCACCGGGTCAAGGAATTCTGCTTCCTTCTCATGGCACTCTCCAGTTAACGGCATACTGCGACGCCGATTGGGCTGGCTGCCAGACGACACGTCGGTCTACTTCTGGGTATTTCATTTTGTTGGGTAATGCCCCTGTTTCCTGGCGAACCAAGAAACAAACAGTTGTCGCTCGTTCTTCAGCCGAGGCCGAGTATCGTTCTATGGCCAGTGCTGTCAGTGAGGTCCTTTGGCTCCGAGCCCTTCTTTGTGATTTGGGGGTTCCTCAGTCTACACCCACGGTCCTTCACTGTGATAACCAGGCGGCAGTGCACATCGCGTCCAATCCTGTGTTTCACGAGCGGACTAAGCACGTTGAACTTGACTGCTACTTTGTTCGAGATCATGTTACCAGCCGCACCATTCTTCCTACGAAGATTGCTTCTCACGACCAGGTGGCTGATCTTTTTACCAAAGGCCTCGGCAGTGACCAATTCCACTATCTCCTCTCCAAGCTCGGCATTTGCAACCTGCATGCTTCGCTTGCGGGGGGGTAAAGGGTTTACGTGCATGAGCATGCGTAGGGTTAGTTTGGTATTTTACCTTTACTAAAACCTACGGCCAACCCTAGGTGATTTGTACTTTAGGGTTGTATATATAGCTCCTGTAATTGGTTCCGCAGCACACTTGTGAAAGTAATAAGAGAAAGACTGAGAAGGGGTTCTCCTTCTCCGTGGATTAGTCTCGTTCATACCGAACGAGGATACCACGTAAATTGCTTGTGTCGTGATCCTTTTTCTTATTGCATCTTAGATTTTTCAAGGCCTAGAGGCTTTGCCTTCCTTCGTTATGCCACCGAAGATGAATCCCAGAAGGCAATCGACGGAATGCACGGAAAGGTAAGCTTCGCCACTCCACGAGTAGAATTAACGCAGTCCATTTTCGTTTAGATGAGGTTATTGACGAGCAACAACCAATCTTCCCCCTTGTAGTTTCTGGATGGCAGGGTGATATTCGTGGAAGTTGCCAAACCCAGATCAGAGCTCCACAAAGGTCCAACGCAGAACCGATGAAGGTCCTTCTTGTACTATGATTTTTCCAGCTTCGAACAGGAGGTGAGTGGATATATAGACTTGCCTCACAAAACATGTAACCTTCTCAAACTTAACATCAACAAGAATAAAAACAGTCCTCGTCCTTTGTTCGTTGGTACGCTAATACCTGCTTCAAATTTTGCCGCAAACCGTTGTGCAAAATGTTTAACATTCAACTGGAAGGGCGAAATAAGAAACTCGGAATGCACCAAACTAGTATACAAAACTGGAAAATGATTCTGAAAACGTTCAGTCAGACAGCCCGCGAAGAGAAGGGACTGGGGAGAGGCTAAGAATGTAAAAAAAGGAGGCCAAGAGAAATGAACACGCAGGAGTGACAGCATACAACAAAGCAAGGATCGTCCAAGAAAAGGGAAGTCATTTGATGAACAAAAGCAGCAGATTAACTTATTTGAGCCACAAAATATATTCAAGTTAAATCGCAGTTCTTCCACGGCCGAAACTCGTAGCAGCAACCGCAGGTGCAGGACTAAGGGACTGTCGATCCAATCATCCGGCTTCTGCGGCAAACAGAACCTAATGCCGTGGCCGTGGCGATGAATAATTTACAATTAGTAGGGAGCTTCCCTGTACCCACATTCTCATCCCTCCCTCACAAATCTTTGCCCGTCTCCTCTTCTATGATAAAAAGCCACCCAACTTTTGCAGGCCGCTTCTTCAGTTGAAGAGACTGTAAAGACCAAAAATTAGGTTCGTCTATATCTTTAACGTTCACTAGGGGGCTTCACCGCCAGCAAAATTAGCTCCTCTTCTTCTCCAACATATCTACACAATGAAGGGCCAATGGGGAGAGATGGAATTTTTACGGGCTAAGAGCAAACTCTAGCCCTTTGCTGATCTCGCTCTTCTGACGCGACCAATGATGATTTCATGTCCCTCTCAGCTAAGCACCTTTTGTATGGCACAAACCCCCTCATCGAATTGCTCCTCGCATTACTGGTAAACATTTGGCGTTGGGACTCCCCTACATCCATGGATCTCTCTCGTTTCTCTACTTCATTTGTTGATCCTGCATCGGAGCCGGAACAACATCTTTCATCCACAGTATCCTTCTCCTTTGAATTGTCTCCCGTAAATGATTGCCGAGAACTCTTAGACAGTCCATCAAATAAACTCCATGCTGGTAACGAACAATCTGTTTCGGAGATACCAGCGCTCTCTCTCTTAACTTCAGTGTGGAAACTAGACAAAGGCAACCCATTCAAATCATGGTTAGCTAAACCCAGTGACAATTTGATGCCCGAGGACTTCTGTTTGGCAATGCCATGGTCCATGTCGACATTTGCTTGGCTGCCCCCTACCACATGCTTCTCGGAATCCATAACCAACACTGTTCTCCCAAACAACTTGAAGCTCTTGGAACGAGCCATTGGGACTGCTCCCTCTGCTTCAAGGAGAGTTGCATTGTTGGAGCCATCCTCCGAATTCTGGAACAAAATGGATAGAGCAGAAGGGAAGGCAATCAAAATCAGCACTTTACATTCGCAGTACTAGGCAGGCAAATCATTCAGAGTTAACAAAGGATTCTTATCTTACCGTGAGAAACTTCTCCATCATTGGATCAGAAGATGCTCCCTCAGGTGAAGAATTTGTGTTTTCTTGGAGCGGAGAGACATCTGATACTATGGGTTCACTCTCTTTCTCATGAGGCAATAACATGAAGGACTGAACATCGCTGGTACATGAGGTCAGCGAAGAGCAGCGATTCAACATCTCCGAAGCTGGAGAGCCCAATGCCTCCGAGCCAACCACGGACAACACAGAGGTCGGGGAATTGTTCCCCTTCTCCATACCCAACAAATTTGGAGACTCGGATCTCTCAGGAGCATCAATGCATTTACGAGGGTAAGGATGCGAGGGTTTTCTCTTTGGACGAGGAGGGGGGATCTCAATTGGTTTCAGGGAACTCTCTGAAACCCCAGTTGTATCACGCACCACCTGAAAATTAAGATCGACACTACATGTCAGAAGGGCCATTCTGCTTGAGCATCACATTCAGCACATTCAACAATCAGAAGCTGGACGGACCTTGGAGAAAAACTTTTGAGCATGGCTTCGGATTTGAACAGCAGTTTTGGTGCCTACATGTTCTGCAAGAGGGATAATAACAAAACTTCATCCACTGATAATTGGAGCACACACAGAAGTTCCTGAAGAGGAGCAAGGGGGAGTGGCGGGGAGTACAAAGGGGTATTATTCACACCTTGAATCTTACGCCAGCCACGGCCATACAACTTCAGAGCATCCAGGAACTTCTGGTGCTCCTCCTCCGTCCACTTCTCCCTCTGTTTGGTGATGGTGTAAGGCTTCCTCAATTTGGGAGTCTGCTGATGACTCCCAAATGAATTCAATTCCATCAACTGATCTCCACCATTGTCATCGTAGCATTCACCTCCCGAAGCCGACATATCATTAGGACCTTCCTGAACTTGATCCTGCAAACACAGCGCCGATTCGTCGAATCAGAACAAGACGATCTCCACTCAACAATTGATGCCAATAGCACAATCACAGTTCACAGTGGTCAAAACGTAGCATCTAAAACTCCAAATCTTAACTATTGAAAATGCTTCTTATCCCCAACTACAGTGACACCAGAAAAAAGAAAAAATCGATTTGAATTGAATTGACAATTTTCTCTGTAATCAAAGCTAAGCGAAACGGCAGGCTACACGCTTATGCTTATCCAAGAAGAATCCCGAAGACCAGTGGGAGTACTTAATTAATTCTGACGTAAGCTGGTTCTGACATAAGCCAAGCGGCAATTTGCTAAAAATAACTATATAATATTATCCAGAAAAATGATAGAAAAATCAAAAAGTACCTGAGAAGCAGCCATTAGAGAGCTGGACCTAATCTTATCTTCCGATTTCAATCCTCAGATTCACAAATCTCTGTAAACAAAAAAAACAAAGCCGCCGTAATCAGCACCGGCAACAACACCAACGAGCTCGAGAAGGAAAATCAAGCAGGAAAAGGAAAGGAAATCAGCAATCGAAGTCGAGAAAACTCACATGAGATGAGAACAATCCGATCTCCACTACCCCGTCGCCGAGGAAGTAGCAGCTGAAGAAGAAGAAGAAGAAGAAGAAGAAGAAGAAGACAAGTAGCTCTCTCTGCAACGACTCTATTTTCGGCGGTGGAATAAAGGAGCTCGAGAGGCAACTGAGAGCGAAGAGAAGTGATTGGACGCAGGGAAAACAGAAGAAATTTTCCGGGGAAAATCTAAAAGTAGAGAAGGAAGAATCAAGAATGAAAGATCGAGGAGAGAAAACGAAAGAGGAAAGAAAGAGAGAGGGGGAGGAGTTGTAAAAATGGGTTTGGTTCAGGGGAGGGTTTGTTAAATAAATAAAAAGGGAAGGAGGGAGGGAGGGGCGGAAAAAGGAAAGGCAATGAAGGGTGACACCTCAGCAGGCAATATTTAATTTTTGGTCCCGAATTTTGTTTTTTTCATTAGTTGGGGGAGGGAAAATTCGAGAAGCAGGGAGGAGAAAAATCATGTGGCTGAGAATGGAAGAGAGGCGGGGACACGCGGCAGTTGCTTAGTGAGTGTTAGGCTGGCATTGGCAAAGGCAAACCCTTTTTCCCTTTCTTTCTTTCTTCTTCTTCTCGGCTCTACTTTGATGTGTTTTCTTGTGGAAGATATTGCCGCACCCATCGCCCACCTCCATTTTGGATAACTCAATTTAGGATATTTTATCAACCACTTTAATTTAATTGGTATCCACAAAAATAGAAGATAAGTGTTCTTTTATCTCGTCTTATTCTTACTTACTGTTAGTCCCGCGATCTCGGTAATCGAACAGACACATATTTGTAAATTAGTCTCTTGTTATTCTTACTTACTGCTAGTCCCGCGATCTCGGTATCGGAGAGACACATACTTGTAAATTCGTCACTATGTTCGCTTCACGATTGAGATCACGAATAGTTAGACTGGTACGATAAGGTAAAGTAACTAATTTTCTCAGTTTACTCAACTTAGTGGTTTTTGTGTGTGTGGAAGTAGCTGGTTGGGAGACAGGAGGAGACCCATTTATGTGTAAGCAGGAGATTCGTTTGTCTGCAATCCACTAAGGTTTTTTTCCCGTTCTTTTCTTGTTTGGTGTAAAAACAAAAAAGATATTAATTTTTGGATTTTCTGGGAAGAGAGAGAGGGGGGGGGGGAAATCTGGTCCACAAATTGGAAAAGGCTGGGAAAATGTAATTTGCTGAGAAAAATTAGATAAATAAATAAATACTCAACTCATTTATTGGTGGTATGGTATGGTTGCGACCCTTGAAAAGAGGGTGTTTTCCTTACATGGCAAAGGTTGGGCAAAAATTCAACGAAAAGGAAAAGAAAGCTGGGCAAAACATAAATAAATAAATAATCTATTTTAGTCTTCCTAACTGAGCTAAGGATGCTCTACTCTTTCTAAATCCTTCACTTAAGATCAAAATTACAGTGTCACATTTTCTTCTCTTAATCTCGACCTTGTCTTGTGATTTTTTTTTTATAGTCTTATCCACCTTTTCAACCATCTTGGTTATATCCTTTTTTTTTCAGGTAATTTGATTCATGTATGTTTTCTTCTTCCATTTCTTTTGGCTATTATGTAATAAACAAAAATTACATCCAATAATACTTGAAATTTTTTCTCTTGTCCTGACATCAACTCAAATTCGAAGAAAATAAGACACATTTAAAGTGTAAATCAAACATAACATAATCAAGAAATAAAATCAAATTTTAGCAAAATTTAATAAAAGAGGTATTCGTATCATTAGACGGACCATTCTATTATTAAGATGATATATACAACCCAAATAAACATGTACAACAATCACCTCTACAACCCAAATAAACATGTACAACGACCACCTTCTAAAATATAGCAGTACCCTTAAAATTCATAATGTCGCCTACATGATCATGCAAATGGTCTAAGAATGTCACCATCGAAAGAGTCCCCACCGCCAAACTACGAAAAAACAAATGCTGCAAAGACTCCTCTCGTGCAAAGAAATTGGACAAACACTAGTTCATGCTACGCATCTTTTAGCCAGTGACAGAGCTATGTTGATGGCAGGAGAGACTATAGTATCTCTCAACTCTAACAACCATGTAACTTTACATATTTATTTTATAAATTAATTGAGAAATTATAGTAATTGGTAAGGTTTTAAGTTCCCTGTTTGGTTCAAATTTTATGAGTAAAGATTGTTAAGCCTCTTATTTGGATTTATTGTTTCGCCACTACTTCTAGCTAAATTTTTTTATAACCATTCGTGGTGGATACATTTATCATTAATTGTTAATGTCATAAACATTCTAGTTTCATTTTCGGCTAATTATCTATTATCGAATTGAATGAAGGTCTGATCGGGTTTTGTTAGGTCTCATTGGTGCTACAAATTGAACATTTTGATCTTGCAGGTGGAGCATCTTTGAAGTATTTGGATTGAACCTAACGATATGGTTTTGGGACTTGCAGCTTACTAAACATAAATACTTTTATGTGTAAGAACAATATCATATCTAATCGAGTTTGGGTGTATTTTGATGATCCTATTTTAAGCCATGTATACTCTTATTTAGTTTTTTTTTTTTCTTTTTTGGGTAGAAATACTCTTTTCTTTAGTTAAGAAATCTCATTCCAACTTTCCTCCTGCGGTGCAAGCAGCTTGTATATATTCCTTATCACCCATTTTTCTGTGGCTATCCCGAACTCTGGATAATAGTTCAAAACAACCAGTGAATATTCATCTTCAGTTCTTCATATATAGCCTCTTCTTTATAAAAAACGCACACCTCACTATAATACGACCAAAATTACTCTACCATTCTGGATTTTGGACACTTCTACTATACCATCAAATTAAAAGATACACACGGACAGTTACAGTGGATAGGTTCAATTTAATTTCTTTTCAATCTCGCTATATATGACGGTCACAACCATTTTGCCAGAACATCTTAATACTTATGAAAGTTATAATTATGATACTGTTCCTTAAGAGTTTACTATCATGATCACGCTGTCACTTTCCCTCTCTCACCCACATCTGTTTTCTCAATGTGACAACGAAGTGGAAAAGGCAGCTGGTATAAAGAGACTTTCAAACTCTCCAACCGAAAGAAGGGAAATCATTAAAACCATATGAATTGTACTAGGGGTGATAAACGGTTAGTCGGTTATCGGTTTTAACCGATAACCGAACCGATAAAGTCGGTTAGTGGTTAACCGATAACCGCTACTTCCTTATTGATTTCGGTTTCGGTTAGTAGTATTTTGGTTAGTGGTTAACCGCTAACCGATTAATCGGTTAGCGGTTAACCGATAAGAAAACCGATAACCGCCTACTAGTGTGACTACATGGTTTTTTACTTTGGCTAAGGGAAAAAGTTGTAAGATTCAAAACCAATCAAAGTTGCAATTCCAAACATCACAATTCTCACCTATTGCAAACAACCCTCCATCAAGAGTCTCAAATGTTTTTAAGAGTTAGAACTCGAAAGTCACCCCTCTCTAAATCCCCTTTGCACTCGATAGAGTGAACCTTAGGTTGTTGATGACTATGGGCTAGATGAAGATCTTGGATTAAATGATGACTATGGGCTAGATGAATTGGAGCGAGATCCTCGGATCATTTAGGTTGATGATTTGGAGATAATGAACTTGTTATTTGTGTCTTGTTGTGATTGTGACTTGTGGTTGAATTGTGGGCATCTAGACTTTATGTTGTGGAGTTGTGGTTGATTGTGTGGTTGCTTTAGGCTTTATGTTCAATTGATTTAGATGACTTTATGGTGTGTGATTATAGAGGCTGAAACAAAAGCAGGTCACTCAAAATTGAGGGTGAATCATTAAAAAAGGTGGTTGAAATTCGGTTTTGGGTGGTCGGTTTCTGAACGAAAATCGAGAAAGTGAACCAGAACCTGCGGTTTCGGTTAACCGCAAGGGAAAACCGAAACCGATGTTTGCGGTTTTCGGTTAACCGAAGTCTCTATCGGTTTCGGTTTCGGTTAGTGATCTTGGGACAATTTTGGTTGCGGTTAACCGATATTTCGGTGCGGTTAAACCGAAACCGCACCGACTAACACCCCTAAATTGTACATATATAAAAATTATTTTAAGACAACATACATCTAATCCTAAATAACATTAATATCTAAATGTTCATACTTGAATCCGACAAAATACTTTCTTTTTGTTATTTAGTTTACCAAATGACATCATTTTGTTTAGAAATTGAAAATTGATAGTTGTGGTCCAATCATTATTTTCTAAGTTTCTTTTTTACCGTTGTGATTATCGCTTCATGTCGTATTCTTCTAGATGAATTTTGTATAATACCGATTGAATTTGGCACATTGGTTTGACAACCATGATCTTGACATGTTGCTCTAACCCATGTCTCGATTGCAGCTCACTTCTCAAGATGACAATGGAAGTGGGAAAATGCAATTGGTTTAGGCTTGGCACGTTACTCCAATCCGAGTTCCGATTTATGTTAGAAAAAATAAAATAAAAAATTGTCATATAGGAAAAGTTAGCATTAGGGTATTTTGTGCTAAAATCATAATTCAATCGTGGTTACATCAGCCTTGACACGTTGCCCCAACCCGAGCTTCGATTCATGTTCAGAAAAACCAAACACGTTACTCTAACCCGAGTCTCAATTTATGTTCAGAAAAATAAAAAATTATAAAATCATACCGAAAGTTGTACTAAAAAAAGTTAGCATTAGGGTATATTGTGCTAAAATCGTAGTTCAACCATGGTTAAAATCAGGCTTGACACGCTGTTCCAACCCGATTCTAGACTTATGTTCAGAAAAATCCTAAAATTTTAATATCATACCGAAGGTCGTACCGGACAAGTTAGCATTAGGATATTTTGTGCTAAAATCATAGTTAAATCGTGATTAAAACAGGGTTAACACGTTGCTCCAACCCGAGTCTCGATGCATGTTCAGAATCTTTTTTTTGTAAAACCATACATAAGGTCATACTGGAAAAGTTAGCATTTAGTCATTTTTGTGCCAAAATCATAGTTCAACCATGGTTAAATCAGGGTTGACACATTGCTCCAACCTGAGCCTAGATTTATGTTAAAAAAACCAAAAATTGTAAGACATTAACTAAGTTCACACCAGAAAAGTTAGCACACTAAAGTATTTTGTGCTAAAATTATAGTTCAATCATGGTTAAAATCATGCTTTACGTTGCTCCAACCCGAGTCTCGATGTATCTTCAGAAAAAAATTAAAAATTGTAAAACCATATTGAGGGTCGTAGCAAAAAAGTTAGCATTATGGTACTTTATGCTAAAATCGT